TAAAAGTATTGATTCTTCTCGAACTCTGTATATGGCATATGTCAACTTAATTTCGGTACCGTAATTTGGAACCACTTAATATAATATTTACATAGATAGATTGCAAAACTTACAAAATAAATTTGCAGTGTATGTTGATAAAAAATTCTACCATAGTTCGCAAAATGTCTATGCCATAAAAGAAAATTTAAAACTTATTTCATTATCTGACAGGAGACAACATTTAGATACTAAATTTATTTTTAAAATTGTAATAACCAAATTGACTCCAGTGCCATCTTAGGTAAAATACAACTTAATGTTTCCTCTTATAATACTAGAAATAAATATACATTTAATATTAATCAAAGTTTCACAAATTACTACCTAAACTCTCCTTTGCAGAGATGTAGCAAATCGTTCAACTCAATCTCAACTCTCACTGACATTGACATTTTCTCTGATTCTTTGACAACTTTCAACAATAATTTAAACAAATTTTATCTTTCACATTTAGATTAAGTATTAATTTCTTATTTTTTTCCTTCTTATTTAATATACCTTTATATCATTATTATAATCACTAATACTTTTTTTCTACACCCGTATTATAATAATGCACTTATATGCCCAAAATCCGTTTCATAATGATACCCATTATGATACAGATTTTTCATTATGATACAGATTTTTAATCAATAGAAACCTACAATTTTTCAATCAAGCATGATGTTTGACGTTTGTCCTAAATTCCTATGTAATTGTTTTAGTTGTCAAAACGTATTAAATTTTCGTAGATAGCTAAACTTCGATAATTATAATATTAAAATGTCTGATATCAGCGATATAGAACACTCCTCCACACATATAGGAGAAAGGAGAAAATGCAGTACAAAATATTTTGCCCCAAAAATCTGTGGTAATACCAGTACCCAAAGTAATACCATTAATTACAATTTTGTAGAATTTTTTATAGAAATACGAGTAATTACTGTTATTGTGTTCAATACCAATATAAATAGAATATTTATAGGTCTTGATTATTTATCGGGTGTAGAAAAAATAGCGTATGCAACTCTCATGTAATGGTTATTAAAACACTCGCATAAACCATACGAAACTCGCCTTTGGCTCGTTTCGTATCCCGGTTAATGCTCGTGTATTAATAACCATCATTACATGATCGTTGCATAATATACTATTGTATGATTAGATTTAGGATTATAATAATTGTGAAAACTGTTTTTGGGTTCGTCCCGTCCTGTTTTCCTTTTTGTAAATAAATAAATATGTAAATAAATAAATAATATATTATACACCAAGGGACTAAAGTGGCACTTTTTATTCCTAGGCTAAAAGTTTGTCGAGAGATAAAAGACGATTCAGTTCCGTAGTTTGTATATTATTTTATGCATTTTAGGAAAAGAAAAACTAAAAAATAATAAAAACTGAAAATTTGGAATAGTTAACATCAAAATATTGGAGCAGCAGCAGTGCCAGTGTAACATTAGAAATGCATTTTCTTGCAATATGGTGCCGTTTCAAAATGGAAGGAGGCCAGAGGGGAATATATTTCTCAAGTTGTTCAATCCAATAAACAATAATCATTACTGTCAGAGTTCCTCAAGTAGTTTCAAGTTCTGATAGCCATAGATCCGTCCTCTCTAGACATTATTACTCTGTTCCTCCCTAGGCGAACCATCAATATATCAACGCGTATTGAACGGCTTTTTCGACAATTGTCAACATAAATAAAAATATAACGGCTGTTGTTGGTCTTAATACGAAGATGGGCTCAAAAAAGTTTAATGAATTCATCACTTATTATTTTGTTTTATATGCTACAGGGTTCGTTAATACGAGAAACTGTACGTATATGGAATAGTGTATAAACTAAATAATACCTTAAAAGCGGGTAATATATATTGATATGGCTAAACTGACTTTAAATTATAAAAACGTCATAAGACAATTTAACTGAAAATATGAATTATTAATTGTAAGAAACTAGTAAAAATACGGCAGTGGCTCTATGTCCGATATCGGATACGCAGCTACGCGCTCTCCGCATCCGACCTCGTACATAGAGCATCAAATTCTGCATGTCCTTCAGCGTCGATGTGCTGCCGCGTTCTTTAAATTGCTTAATAAGTAATTATATTCATTATGGGTCGTATTTTTAAAAGCGAAGAAGAGGGTGTTCCTTAAGTTACTAGTGTTACTACTCATCTAAGAATTAACTTTTTATTGTTGCATTTTATATTTTAACATTTCATAATAAACAAGGTTTAATTAGTCAATGTTTTCTTCAGACATTAAATTTGCATTTTCTCAAATTGACTGATCATTCTCCCCGCGACGCTCGCCGCGACTTTTTTTTTCGTAAATTGGTCTTTCTAGGGACATATAAGGGACGGGTACCTGACCTCTAATATACGATATGCCTGTATGTACCATATAATCTAGGATCAGTTTAAATTGTTATTTAAGGAATAAGTATAAAAAATATTGTTTTGTAAATATTACGATTTAATAATTTATAATTATAAACATTTAACATTTTTTATAATATTAAAAAGGTGGGTACCTACCTATACCTGAAATCTGCCTGACTCAATAGAAGTTAAAAATTAAATTTATTTAAAAGATATAAAGTAAGTACTTAATCAGATTCATATATGTAACAAAAATTATATGAAAAAAAAAAAGAAACATGTAAGAGAAAAACAAAGATTTCTTTTAAAGGAGTTATACAGGGTGTTTCTAAATTCATGCGACAAAATTCAGGAGGTGATTGCTCGTATGAAATTAAGATGGGTCTTTCCTATAACAAAATTTCCTCAGCGCATCCCTTTCTAAAATGTTAGTATAACTAGAAACTTGAAATTCTGTAATGTATTTTGGCCAGCATTTATTATGAATCGTACTACATTTTACATCTTTACTGTTTTCCACTCAATTTATTAAAAAAATTATAAATTATGGCGCTTATTTTTTTCTCTGCAGCTATTGGTTTTAAGAAAAAAATTTAAGAATAAAACAAAATTTTTAAATAAACAAGGATTTCAAGTTATAATTTTATTTCATAAAACTTCATCTCGAAAAAAGTTTTGATATAAAATAAAGTAAGGGTTGCTAATTTCACCTACCTATAATGTATGTAACAGGAATATTGAAATTTTAGAAAAAAATAAAAACTCAATTTTAGTCACCACCTTTTCAAGGGTGATATCTCGGAAAGGGGTGGGCTGAGAAAATTTTATTATAGAAAAGACCCATCTTAATTTCATACGAGCAATCACCTCCTAAATTTTGTCGCATGAATTTAGATGTTGCACGTCAAACAGTATTAAACAACACTCAATTTCTAACGATGAAGTTTTAACTGGTGTATACCAAACTGCTCCTAGATTTTATGCACAGAACACTTACTCTATTTTATGTTTTACAAACGTATCGTAATAATTATTATGTTAGGTTGCCCCTTATGTATTGTACAACCAGTACAACAAATGTACAGTAACGATATATTTGCCCAACAAATCGCCGTATTTGTCTAACAAAACGTAGTTATTGTCCAGCAAATGTAATATGTAATACATAATTTACTGAAACGTAAAACTCTGCATTATTCTGTTTTTTATCTTTGGGTTTAAGAGCTAACAAAAAGGCCTTCGCACCTCTCGCGTCTAGCATTGGGTCAAAAAGAAATATGGTCACCCTACCTTATGTCCAGAAAAAAAAGTAGTTGGTGAGCGTCGTGGAAGAATGATCAGTCGATTTGAGAATATGCAAATTTAAAGGTCCAAGAAAAAATTGGTTAATTAAACCTTGTGGAACCCCCTTTAGGTATTCGCCTTAACAAATACGAGCCATGAATAGTTACTCAAACTACAAGGAAGACGGCAGCACGTCGCGCCGAAGGACATACAGAATTTGAAGCTCTATGTCCGTGGTCGGACGTCGAGAACGCACAGCTGCGACAGGAAGCCACTGCCTAAAAATAAATCTATTTCGTATATTAATTAAGTTACTACGACTGAATAGTAAAACTTGCTTTGACTATTATATTGTAATACTTCCCTTAAAGCATAGCCTTAATTTTTATATAACTGACCAGAGCCCTATTGGCACCGTGCGTGACAGCAGCGCAAACTAACTTATGAACTAACGGGCGATTTTTTATATATCTACTGTCAATACAATCTATATATGTAACAGGAGGGTACCCCCACGGCACGTAGGTCTCATTAGGCCCGTTGTACATCCTCCTAAAATGATAGGCACCTCCTAGCTCGTTAGCCAGCCTACATATCTAATGCAGTTTTCAACGTCGCCAAGAGGTGTTTCTCTTCTATCGGCCAGTGTTAGCCGGTGTTAGCCGATACTCGCCGAACACAAATCTTCTAATAAATGAGAGCGTCGAGCAATCGTAAAGGATATGATCGATGGTCCCATCTTCTTGTTCGCACCCTCTGCACAGTGCGGACTCTGACAGCCCCATGGTATGGAGATGCTTCCGTACTTGGCAATGACCAGTCAGTATGCCTGTGATAAGGCGCAGATTCTGACTAGTCATAGTCAAGTATTTGTTTGCTGCAGTGTTTTAGGATAACTTAACAGCTCCCTGGCAAATCTGCAGTTTCTTGTTTCATCCTATTTTTCCTTGAATTTTACAAGGGAACGTTCTTTGATTAGGTCTACCACTACCGATTTTGTTAGGCCAATAGAAGGGCCAGGTCCAAAAAGTATTTGGTTGACTGCTTTCTTGGCTAGTGAATCAACAAGACGGTTATCTTTCGATGTGGCGTGACCTTTTATCCATCTTAAGGTCACCACATTGTTGATGGATATTTCGGTTAAAAATTCGTGACATTTTAATACCAAACCTGAGTAAATGCGTGATCTGTTCAGTAGGGTGGGTCGAGAAAAAAAAATTTCAGAAATTGATCTTGTCATATTAGTAAAATATGTGGAATCCACCAAGAAAAATATACAAATTTTGTTTTTGCGAAAAAAATTGAATTTAGCTAGCCTCTAGTTTGACCCGAATGTAGGAATCTCTCGAGATGGAACCACATACTTTACTAGATGCTTCAGTCACTAATTTAACACAGCGCTTGACTGCTTGTGTGTGACATGGAAATTCGATCGTTGACGGAAATATGAAGGATTTATTTTCTATTGCCTGCTCTAGAACCTGGTCATTTATTTGTTTTGTCAGAGGAGGAGGCTCTGTCACATTGCACTCACTCCAGTGTATGGTCTTGGTGTAATCTTGAGCTTCGAAATTTATTTTTGGAACTCTGAATGTTCTCAGTCTTGTTGGAGTTTGCCTCGCTTTTAAGATACGTCTTATTCCTAGTTCTCTTATATGCACCCTTTCATCTGTTATCATTGCTAAGAGAATGTTCTCTGTGTGGACGAAGTAAGCATTTGTGGAAATCACTCGATTAGTAATAGTTTTAATTTAATCAGGGAACCATATTGAATACTGGGTTGTGTCTTGATTGAAAACCAGACTGAGGCATACACTTTCATGACAAAATTTGCGAGTAAAATAAGGTTTTCTGAGGGCAACTCCGTAGAAATATGTAATCGCAATAGCCTGTTTGCTGTTGTTAGCCATCTTGCATGACCCATTTTACTAGGATATTTTTTGGATAAGTTGTCAGGGCAGTAGCCCTCTCGAATAGCTGAACATAGACGATAAAGGTACTGTTGATCAGTATTAAGGTCTTTCTCATCGACATGAGGTACAATTGTGTCAATTTTTTCGAAATTCACGACTGGCCTTAATTCGCATGCTGCCAACAAAGATCCGATTGGCCCAGAAAAAGTATATGGCCCCTTTGTGTGTCCATCTATGTCGTGAAGAACATGTCTGAGTGGTAGTTCATTTGTATGCAACAAAAAAATTACCCACTGTCTTTTAACGTGATTTTCAATGAGACGTATTATGTCACTTTTCCATCCTGTATTCACATTAGTCCCATCACAACCAATAACTGATTTAAGTCAACATTTTTAGTTTCGATATAAGATATAATACTTCTCGATATATTTAACGCAGTGGGGGTGTTATCGTCACATGGCCAAAATAAGTACTTCCTGGTTCTTCAATTATTGAAACGTGCTCCTGTTGTTTAGTAACACGACGACCTTGAATAAGCATCATTGTTTGGTCCTTTCTTCCATCGAAATAAATTTCTTGAATAGGTTTTTGAGGCATTGTCACTATTTTTTGGACAGCCTTCCTTTTTTTATTGAGTTCTCTCCGAACTTTGCCTTTATCTATAATATTCTTAGGATTTTCTGAAGACACTAATCCAGAATCGTGCAAAGTGGCTGTATCAATTTTCGCCACAGTTCGATTTGAAGCTCCTGTCACGTTTGCCATCTTGGCAATGTTTGGGAGAGCTTTTTTGAGTTGTCCAGATTTTTTAAGCTCCTTAACATTACCAGCTGAAGCATCTAAAGAATATGATTACCTAAAATCCTGATCTTTCATTACATTCTCACCTGATGATGAGGTGGATGCACTTTCATCCGTTATTTCTGCATCTTCAACTGGTTTTGAGGTTGAGGGACCCGCTCTTTCTAGAAAATGTCTTTCATTTTTCATTTGCATCTTTTTGTATTTACTTGGTCTACACCACCGAAGCGCATTTTTCTTTGTGTTCTTTGATCGCAAAGAAAAGGGCGCTTAATTATCGGGACCTTATTTTTTTCGCAGGTGCAAGCATTTATATCAGCACACTTATGTTATGTTGATAATGGGGTGTTAATACACTGCGACCTAAAAGATCTATTGTGCCCCCTTCTGTCACCACTGCACTAAGGAAATGTCTCAATGCCTATAGCGACCCTTCCAATCCTATTTTCTCAAGGAAGTGTAGGATTTGAAGTGGCTTCAAGTTAGGTAAGTCTCCCTCTTCTATTTGATATCCTCCTAGATATAGTGCCCTTGGATTCTGGAGTGCTACACATTCAGTTAGGATGTGAATGGATATTTCGTCCTCCTCCTCACAGAATCTGCACTCACTATCCTCTACTACTCTCAGTTTACTTAGGTGTCCTTTTAGTCGGCAGTGCCCGGTAAGGATCCCTGTTACAATACGTAGCCTGTTCTTGCTCAGGCAGATGCAGGCTTCCGATCTTTTTTGGTTATATTCACCCAGAAGTATCTTGGCCCGTCTCAGCCCCAAGAGAGCCCCTTTCCTTGCAAGACTATCTGCAATCTCGTTACCCTGTACCCCGTTATGTCCCGGGACCCAAGTGAGAGTAACTCTAGTTTTCTCGCCTAGCTCATTCAATTGTTCTAGGCATCTCCATACCATTTTTGAGCTGATTACGTAAGAACTCAGCGCTTTGATGGCTGCTTGACTATCGGACATGATGATAATCTCTTGTCGATGATAGTTTCTTTCGATGTTAAACTCGATGGCGTGAATTTCCGCCTGGAAGATGCTTGGTTATTTTCCCATGCTTTCGGAGTGCTTGGTTCTCGGCCCATACACTCCTATTCCAGTTCCTTCTATGGTTTTGGAACCGTCCGTGTACCACTGAATAGCACGTCTTTCGGTTGCAAGCGCGATGGATTCTTGGCTCCATTCTTTCTTGCAGCTTAGCTCTGTGGTTTTGAAGTTTTTCACAAAACTGTACTTCTTTTGCATTTCATCCTGGGGCATGTCCCAGGTATCTTTAGTCCTGAAGCAAGTAGACTTTCGTCTGATTACTCCGCTCCTGATCATTCTATATCGTGTCCTTTTTGCCACATTCTCTATCATCAAATGTAGAGGGGTGAGGTTTAAGATCACCTCCATTGAGGCCGTAGGACAGGTTCTCATTGCACCAGTAATGCAAACACAGGCTAGTCTTTGTACTTTTGAGATATTAGCTCTCGTAGTAACTAAACTAGTTCTGTTACTCCAGGCTATAGCCCCGTAACTGATGATTGGTCTCACTATTGCAGTATACATTCATCGCAGTATGTTTGGGTTACATCCCCATCGTTTACCCGCCATGTTTCTGCATACCATTAGGGCTTTTGTGGCCTTATTTACTACTTCCTTCTCATGTGTGTTCCAGAGAAGTTTGTTGTCCAGGGTTAGGCCTAGATATTTGACTTCATTTTTCCATTCTATATCTATCCCGTCTAATTTAACGGTTTTGAGATTAAGTTTTCTTCTTCTTGAAAAGGCTACTAGTGTTGTTTTTGTAGGGTTTATACTAAGTCCCACTTCACGGCACCATCTTTTGGTATGTTCTAGTCCTCTTTGGACTATATCACACAGGATATTACTAAACTTGCCACTAGCAAATATGACTATGTCGTCGGCATAACCTTGACAGGGTATGCCGAGGTCAGTCAATCTGCATAGAAGTTCGTCTACGATTAGGCTCCACATTAGTGGGGATAGAACTCCTCCTTGTGGACATCCTCTGGTTGTGCAGATGGAGATGGTGTCCTGCTCTATCTGTGTCTCTGCAGTTCTCGAAGATAACAGCTGAGCCATCCATCTGGATGTGATGTTATCTACTCCTCTGTATGCAAGTGCTCTTTTTACAGATTCGTGTGGCGTGTTGTCAAAAGCTCCTTCTATGTCTAGAAAGGCACACACGACCGTTTCTTTGTTTGTCAGTGCATACTGGATTACATCAGTCAACTGTACCAGGGCAGTTTCTGTAGATTTTCCTGCTCGATACGCGTGTTGGTCGTGGTGGAGTGGCACCCTCTCCAGGACTTCTGTTCTGATATAGTTATCAACAGCCTTCTCCATTGTTTTTAATACAAAGGATGTGAGGCTGATTGGACGGAAAGATTTAGGATGTGTGGTATCCTTTTTCCCTACTTTTGGAATAAAGGTGACTCTGTCCCTTCTCTATGCTTCTGGTATATATCCCAGCTCCAGACTGCTCCGGGATAGCCGGATTATGTGTGGTAGTTATTCCTCCTGTGCCTGCTGAAGCAGGGCAGGAAATATTCCATCCACACCTGGAGACTTAAACGGTTTAAAAGTGTTTACGGCCCACCTTAACCGATTTCTGCTGCATATATGCTTGGTCACTACAGCGGCCTCTCTTGGGGGTCTGCTTACCTTAGTTGTGTCCCTTATTAGAAAAGGTGTGCTTCCAGGAAAGTGAGTTTCGAGTAAAAGGCGAGCTCTTTCCTCCTCACTCTCCGTGAAGCTTCCATTTGGTTTCTTTAATGCCATAACTGTATCAACTCTCCCTTTTGCCAAGACCCTGTGCAGTATCGCTGCCTCAGGTGTAGAGTTAATATCCTCGCAGAATTTTCTAAAGCTGTTACGTTTAGCTTTCCTGATTTCTTTGTTGTAGGTAGTAAGCGCCTCGGTGTAGTCTGCCAATCTCCGCTGTGCTTGGCCCTATTATAGAGCTTCCGCACTTCGGATCGTAAGTTTGACAGATGACGGTTCCACCAAGGAGCATCCCTACTAGTCCTATTTCTTTGAATGGGGCAGCTTGATTCATATGCTTCAAGTATTGCCCCATTTAGTTCTTCGAGATCGCTTTCCAGAGCAAGTGGATGCCCCGGCTCCTTTTTTTGTCTGGATACGTGCTAAATTTTGTTTTAGAATGGTGTTGTATTTGTCCCAGTCTGTTTTTCTAGGATTCCTCCTGAGGATCGTCTCAGGAATGTCGCTCTCTAACGTAAACACAATTATCTTGTGATCAGATAGAGATGGTTCACTCGATACCCTCCAGTTTTTAACTAGATCTTTAATGCTCGGTGTGCTTAATGTGATGTCTAATACCTCACTTCTTGCCCTTGTTACAAATGTTGGAGTATTCCCAATATTTTGCACAATAAGGTTCTTATTAAAAATATATTCTAAAAGTTGCTCACCTCTTTGATTGGTGTCGTTGCTTCCCCATACAGTGCTGTGCGCGTTGGCGTCGCATCCAAGAAGTAATGGCAGATGTCTTCTCTGGCAGTACTCCACTAGCCTCGATACTTCCGGGGGTGGTACATGTCCATCTCCAGCGAAGAAACTAGAAGCTATTACTATGTCTTGCCGCCTCATCCCTAATTCCAGGTATGCTCGAATTGGAACGAGATCACGCGTCATGAATTCTGAATGACAAGAATATTTAATATTACTTCTTACCATTATGCATGTTCTGGGTACTTCATCACTAGTGTGATAAATTACCCTTGCATCCTTACATGCAAGTCCTCTTACCTGGTTTCCATAGACCCACGGTTCCTGGATCAATACGATCCCTAATTGATCTTTAGTGAAGGTCCTAGATATCACAGCCGAGGCTCCCTTGGCGGGATGGACATTCACTTGGGCGATGTTGATGCCCGCCATTTTTCTCTCCTTTAATGGGGGGTGTTGTCCCCATCGGTGAGGGTGCGTTCCATATCCCCCTCTTCTGCTTCTTCATCAATTTCTACATCCTTAGAGATTTGAGAGGTTAAGGCTCTCTATGCTCTCCACATCAGTCTCATCTTTGGAAGTACTAGGAGTTGGTTCTGTTGTTCCTCCCAGTTCCTTTAATTCTTCTTTCTTTTGAAGGCCGTGTACGGGGATTTTCCCGAAACGATAGTGGATAGTACATCCACTATCCTTGATCCGTTGG